TTATCAGATGGAATAAGAATCGGCGGCATGCTCCTGTTCACCACTCATTTAAGCACAGAGCCCATCAGAAATAGTAGTACGTTGTGTAATGGGAGCTGGCGGGTTCCGTGCTTAAAGGGATGGTGAACTGGAGTATGCTGCTGATTCTTCCTTCATCTGATGAAGTTGTCAGTTACAACTTAGTTGCTTTGTACTAAGTTCTGTACATACAACACTCCTAGGCTTAAATTATTGCCAATATTTTAATTAGCCTTTTTATCACTAATAAAACTATTGTCTTTATTCAAAGACTGACCAGCAATGATATTGGATGCTGGTGATGCGAACCTAGGAGATGCTATTTCGGTTGCTTCAGGAGAACAGGATACCTATTTAAGATGTATTTCTGGAGAGTTCTATTATGTGCCTCATGTTTTGGGGTATCGGTACTTTTCTCATTTCAAAGTGGTTTCCCTGGTACAGTTGCTGGTAGAGACAATTTGTAGGATGTTTGGTAAGACTCTGTTTTATGCACAACTTTGAGTGAGGTTCAGTTCATTCCTGTTGGGGACTATGCAGATTCCATCACCCATAGAGTCATGTCTCCACATAGTTAAAGCAATGGTATTCCCCATAGTCACCTACGGATGTGAGAGCTGGACCATAGGGAAGGCTGAGCGAAGGAAGATAGATGCCTTTGAACTGTGGTGCTGGAGGAAGGTTCTGAGAGTGCCTTGGACTGTGAGAAGATCCAACCAGTCCATACGTCAAGAAATAAAGCCCGACTGCTCATTGGAGGGAAGGATAGTAGAGGCTAAGATGAAGTACTTTGGCCACATCATGAGAAGAAAGGAAAGCTTAGAGAAGACAATGATGCTGGGGAAAATGGAAGGAAAAAGGAAGAGGGGCCGACCAAGGGCAAGATGGATGGATGGCATCCTTGAAGTGACTGGATTGACCTTGAAGGAGCTGGGGTTGGTGACAGCTGACAGGGAGCTCTGGTGTGGGCTTGTCCATGAGGTCACGAAGAGTCAGAAATGACTGAACGAATGAACAACAAAGAGTCATGTCTGGTGGGCCTTCTTGACGACTGCTCCTAGGTTGTAAAACTCCCTTCTGAGAGAAGTTAAGACTGTACTGGTTTATTTATGGTGCTTATGTATCACTTCTGATTCCAATAGAGTCCCCAAAGCGATGTACCAGGAAAAAAAACAACAAATAAAGACATTATAAAAAATTTCAGCCACTTTGCCTCCTACTGATTAACTATTATCACATCTCCCAGTAATTTTTATAAGATATGAACTGATATGAGATATAAACCAACATTAGCCATGATATTACATTTGTAGAACGTGCCTCAATAGATGCCTTCCTGTTGGACCGCTGTTTGTTTGAAAAAGTTAGGAGGAAAGAATTGACAAACCCCTCAGAAGTTTTCATGAGGCAGGTCTCTGAAGAAAGGCTGACAGAAATGTGGCTTGCCCAAGGCCATGCCAAGAGCAGTAGAAAATATTTGAGAAAGAGAATATTCCTTCTCCCTGTCCTGTTTCTTCAGCTGGCAAATGGTAAGAGAATGGGTGATGATGCCTTGGCTCAAAGTTGTGAGCCACTAAGGACCTCAGGGTAGAATTGGCTGTTCACAACACCATAACAAAAAAGCAGGACAACAAAACAAAATTGGGTATCTTTGAACTATCTCCTGATTTGTTCAAGAAACAATGGTCAAAATAAACTATAGGGTAATATGGTGTCACAACCAGGGCAATGCACATGGTTGTTATTATTATGAACATGTATTCTGTCTTTTTTCCTTTCCCCCAGAGGCTGTTACCTGTGGTGCCTAGGCGGGTGGGCTAGCAAATGTCTTCAAGGCTAGTAGCTTTGGTGGAATTACTAAGAAGGGTGTCTGGGTGTCGAGGATGCTTGTGGAATTTTCTTTCTGCTTGCCTTTGGTATCCGGTCAGGAATTATTCTTTGAAGATCTGGCAAACCTTCTGCTACACTTCACGACTAACTTCAAAGGGAGACGCTGTGATGTTCCCCCACCTCTTTCTCTCAAAATCATCACTGAACTGCATGATGTAGACACAGCTGCTCGTAAAAAAAAAGGTGTGAAGGCAGTGTCGTCCAAAGTGAAGATCCATCCTCTCATAAGCTCCCTCCTTATCAAACCTCTGTTTCTTCTTGCTTTCTCAGCCTGATGCCGACAGAGGCTTTTTTTGGCTAGACGAAAAGCATTGGAAGCTACTGAGCTAACAGATGGTTGAACATCTCTCTTATGTAGCCTCATTCAAGTACAAGCCAAGACTCCCTTAGATAGGAGGGGACAGAAGTCATTTCCAACAGCATCTGCAGCTCAGAGATTCAGAGCTGGTAGATTTCCCCTAAAGTATAAATGGATGGAACTTAGTCTTAAAGAGCACAAGTTATCGGTCACAGACCTTTTGTTTGAATTAAGCTTTTTGGAACAAGGATGGCTCATGTTGACATACCCTTATCTTCAGAGGTCAGCTCATTAACTTGTTCTGACAACAGTGTATGGAGGAGAGGCAACTTGACTTCTCATCTCTACAACTGAAGAGCTGGAAGAGAAGAAGGCCCTGTTCCATTTTTGTCCAAGACTTTCCAGATGAAGATGATGAATATAAATGAAGTAAAGCTGTAGATGCTTTGAGATGCTTTAATTTTCCTACTGGCATGCAAATGAACTCGGTTGAAATATGGCATAACTAACCTGATTTCTTCCCAGTCCCTTCCCAGGAAGCCTAAATGTGTCCATTTTGTACTGCAGACCCTTTTAAAATAGCGGCTAAACGCAGCAAAAAGTGATGCTACTTTCTGTCATCATTTTGAGAGGAGATGTAATGGAAAACAGAGTTATGGTGAATAGTACAGGTTATGGGATGTTCATAGAGGCAAGGATTGGGGGGGGGGAGTATTGTCATATGTTTTCACAGATTTCATAGAATCATAGAATCAAAGAGTTGGAAGAGACGTCATGGGCCATCCAGTCCAAACCCCCTGCCAAGAAGCAGGAATATTGCATTCAAATCACCCCTGACAGATGGCCATCCAGCCTCTGTTTAAAAGCTTCCAAATAAGGAGCCTCCACCACACTCCGGGGCAGAGAGTTCCACTGCTGAACGGCTCTCACAGTCAGGAAGTTCTTCCTCATGTTCAGATGGAATCTCCTTTCTTGTAGTTTGATGCCATTGTTTCGTATCCTAGTCTCCAGGGAAGCAGAAAACAAGCTTGCTCCCTCCTCCCTGTGGCTTCCTCTCACATATTTATACATGGCTATCATATCTCCTCTCAGATTTATGGGGATTTTGTGTGATTTGGTCAAATGTGGCCTACAAGTTGTATTTTGGCCACTTCAAAAGCAAAGTTATAACAGCTACAAAGCCAAATCTAGTTCCTTATATGAACTTATATTACACCAAAACTCCATCTTGTTCAGTGCCCTTTTTTCACATTTTCCAACTGAGAGATTAGAAAATTGCTTTTTAAAAGGAATTTATTCCTGTTTCTCGGTCTGTTTGAAAAGTGATTCATTATGTCTTGTCACTATGTCACAATGAAGTGTGTTACTAGTTGCATTTTCCATCAATTAATTCAATTATTAATCTACAAACAAACTACATCTGTAGGCCATTTTCTGCCAAAATGCAACTAAAGATCTTGAAAATGATATTGAAAAATAAAAGAACACAAAACACAGAGAATGTAACTTTATTGCACATTAATTGCTGCACCTCCACTATCATTACTTTCTTGCAAGTTACTTTGTTACTTGCAATGCATTACTTCCATGTCCTGGTCTTGTAAGATGCTTGCAGGGGTATAAATGTTTGAGTGTATACCAAGACTGAAAAATAATCAGACATAGAGGAAATTGAAATTCAGGCCTCTTCCACACTGCACAATATCTCAGGATCAGATTCCAGATTACCTTCTTATCTCAGATTATATGGTAGTGGAAACTCTTATGATCCAGTTCAAAGCAAATAACCTGGGATCAGATCCTGGGATATAAGGACAGTGTAGAAGGGGGCTCAGGCCCTGTTACACTGCCATATAAAATCCAGATTATCTGCTTTGACCTGGATTATATAGCAGTGTAGACTCATATAATACAGTTCAAAGCAGATAATGTTACACCATTAAGTTGTATTTCTGGCATTGGAGAGGGATTGGCTGGTGACTGCTGGAAGAACACTTTGGTTTTCTTGATGTTAAATGACAGGCCGAGCTTCTCATAAGCTTCTCATAAGCTTCTCATAAGCTTCTGCGAAGATGTTTAGAGTGGCTTGTAGGTCTTCTTCTGAATGCGCACAGACGACGTTGTCATCAGCATACTTGAGTTCTAAAACAGATGTTGTTGTGTAAAATAAGCACAAATCCTTCTTACGAAAACTGAGGACTATTTATTATTTATTTACCACACTTTTATCCCACCCTGTTCAGCCCAAAGGCAACTCAGACTGGCAACAATTAGACGTCAAACACATATAAATACCTCATTTAAAACAGGTTAAATCACATAATAAAATTAATTTAAAAAGAATTTAAAACTACTAAAATCAATGACTTCTGGGTTAAAATCCTATGTCCTCGAATTGCATGATTTTAATAATGTGTTGTAATGTTTATATTGCTTTTATTTCTTTATCCTCATGTATATGTTTATTTTATTGTTTGTTGATACAGCATCAAATTGCTGCTGATTGTAAGGCTTCTCTGAGTCCCCTTCAGAGTGAGAAGGGTTGGATATAAATATGGTAAATAAATAATAATAAATAATGTCCACTACAACCACAAAGGGTATTGAGAATTGTTGATATGTTTTTATAAATAGATTCTTGTTTGCTGCAATTTTGTAAAATTTGCCTACATCTTAAGTGATTTTTCAGCGTATTACAGTATATTCAATTTTAGCATTCCTTGGAGATTTTAGCTTAAAATTATGCATAGACACATATTAATAACCAATTACATTTTTCTTTTGTATCTTGCAGTCTATCCGAGAAGTCACAGGCTATGTGTTGGTAGCTTTGAATCAGTTTGAGTACCTTCCCTTGGAGAATCTGCGCATCATTCGTGGAACCAAGCTTTATGAAGATCGTTCAGCATTGGCCATTTTCCTTAACTACAAAAAGGATGGTAGCCTTGGACTCAGAAGGCTTGGACTGAAGAATCTGACTGGTAAGAGAAGGACTTGGGCATAGATACATAGAGCCTTTTTATCAGTCCTACTGGTAGAAGAATTTGTTGGTTTTGTGGAAAGAAAATATACAAAGATGCATCCCAGAACAAAAAAAAAAGATATTCCGTTGGATTTGCAATCTGTTCCTCAAGGGTACTTCCACCTTGAAATGTAGAATTATAACATAACAATTTTATATGCGATGGTGTTGTTCTTTGTATTTGTGTTTTGTTTTCTTAGTTTGCATGCATCAAATGCAGCAAACACCTTATTTGTTGTTGGACCTGGGTTGTAAACAGCTATGGTATCAATATAGTTTATGTTTGAGTGCACAGCTTATGTATATTGATCAACTGTAGGGTTGAAAATGAAATTCACATTAGCCAAGATTTTCAAATGAATTTACCCAATTTGTGCTCTGGCACCAAACCAGAAATATTGCTTAACGTTTTGGCTCAGGTGGAAGTAAATTCCATTGGAGATAATGAAATGTAAATGATGGTGCATATTATTAAAGTGTGAATTATGTGATGGAGTTGTGAGCAAGTGGTTTTATTGTAGACTTAGCTCTTCACAGTATCTACTTTATATACTGACGACATAGTCACTACATTGTTTCATATACATTATGTTCAAAGGATGTTTCCTTCAGTGAATAGATATTTCTGAAGCTATTATGTTTTACATTTTTTGAAGTCATATCCAGTTTTTTTGATATTGATGAATATTCAGCTTTATTGTTCTATGAATATTGGAGTTCTTAAGTGTTAATAGAATGAGGAAGAGTAGGCCAGTTCAGACAAAAGGTGCTGGGTTCAGACAAAAGGGTTCAGACAAAAGGTGCTGGAATTTAGGAGCATTTTGAAATGCTACATAAATGTACCCAGGATAGTGTGCTGACAATAGTGTGCTGTCCAAACAGGTCTGGTACAGTCGGTCCCATGATAACCACTTCTTAGTCAATCAGTACAAATTAAGATTGTTGGAAGCGTATGAGTAGAGGACCTGATTGTATGATATGATAACATCTGTTTTTACAGATCCGCAGATATGTTGTTTGCATGATGTAGGAAGGAAAAATGTGTGTGTTTCTTGGTGTTATTTTTTCACATTGTGCTGTATCCTGAATCCAGATGTTTCTTACTTCGGACCTCTAGTTTGGATCACAGCAGTTACAATGCAATTCAACTGCCATAGGATTTGAGTGGTTTATTTCTTTATTTATTTGTGATATTTGTATACCACCCTTCTCAACTCCAAAGGGGACTCAGGGCAGTTCACAGTGTTGGCAACAATTCAATGCCTTCGATAGAAACAATATAAAACATTAAAATTGACCCTCCCCTAAAAAACACATTAAACATTATTAAATACGCTCTTGTTACATCCCAAATAGATTACTGCAACACACTCTACGTGGGTTTGCATTTGAAGACTGTTCGGAAACTTCAATTAGTCCAGCGGGCAGCGGCCAGATTACTCACCGGATCGTCATACAGGGAACATACAACCCCTCTGTTATGTCAGCTCCACTGGCTGCCGATCCAGTTCCGAGCACAATTCAAAGTGCTGGTTTTGACCTACAAAACCAATATACGGCTCCAGCCCAGCATACCTGTCCGAACATATCTCCTTCTACGTCCTACCTCGGAGTTTAAGGTCTTCTGGGGAGGCCCTGCTCTTGGCCCCACTTCTATCACAAGTGAGGTTGGTGAGAACAAGGAGCAGGGCCTTCTCAGTGGCGGCCCCTCGCCTGTGGAATTCRCTTCCCAGGGAAATTAGGTCATTAACATCCCTCCTCACTTTTAGACGGAAATTGGATATGGATATGGGACCAGGCCTTTGGGTAATCTGGCGGATAGACAAAGGACAATGATGACTAGAATTGATAGGATTGACAATATGGAATGAACTACGGATTCTGAGCTTGGCRAACGTTGAATATTAGATTGGTTTTTATTAATTGTGATGTATAATGGGATTGTTTTTAATTGTTTTGTAACTGCTGCTGATACATGTTTATTTTATTATCTGCTTGTTGGCATCGAATTGTGCCTTTTTTGGAGATACATTGGGACAGGTAAGTTGGACCAAAGCCAGCACTTTGAATCATGCTTGGTAGCTAATAGGCAGCCAATGGAGTTGCCACAACAGGAGGGTTGTATGCTCCTTGTGTGGCACCCCTGTTAACAACATGGCTGCAGTGCATTGGACTATTTGCAGCTTCAAAGGCAACCCCACGTAGAGCGCATTGCAGTAGTCTAAACGGGATATAACAAGAGCATGGACTACCATGGCCAAATCTGACTTCCCAAGGTCCGGGCGCAGTTGGATCTCAAGAAGTTGTGTGAATGCCTCTCTGGTCACCACTGATACCTGGAGTTCCAGGCTCAGTGATTAGTCCAGGAGGACTCCCAAACTGCAAGCCTGTGCCTTCAGGGGGAGTGTAACCCCATCCAGCACACGCTGTAACCCTATACTTAGTAAACTTAAAAAAGTATGCTATAGATGATATTGTCAGAACATTTCTATATACTGAACTAGTTGATCCTTCTGTTTGGTGAGAAAGGCACTTATTTTTTTTCTCAACATTTTTCAATGTACAATAATGACCTTATCCTCATAATTCCTTGTGTACCATCCAGTGTATTGCTTATCAGTGCTGTAATCCCAAGTGCCCTCCTCGCAGTGTGCCCTATTAAAATTAATTGCATGCAATGCCTGGTGGATTGTGCCTCTGGGACGAAGCAGATATGATTTTTTCCCATTGTAATAACGTATCTCAGGTCAGTATAAGAAGGACATGTAGAGGTAGTGGCAAAGCTACATTTTAAGAATCATTATTTTTTAACTCATTTTCCTTAATCTTATTTTTGTTTTTGGTAAATTGAAGCCAAGAAAGATGTCAACAGGTTACATGCCAGGCAATATTATTTGGTCCATAGATCTAATGGCCAGGAAACTCTTTTGCAATTCAGCTGTGAAGTCAACACCTGACATTTGTTGTGACATGTATGTAGATTTTCCCCAAATCTACCTACATGTCTTTTATACGTGCGTATCCTAAGAGGAAATGAAGTTAAAATCATCAATGACTCACTCCTAGAACACTCTTGTAAAATTGGACACATGCTACAGGTGACTTGAGGTATGCAGAAAATACACTTGGATTTCAGATGTCCAACTCTTTCTACAACACTTCTCAAAATGACTTCTGTCCTAGGTTCTGTGCAAGTGTTTTGAAATTCTACTTATTTCCATACATTCATGGCTCATGGCCTCCTGCCACCAATTTGGGGGGGAGGAGTGACTAGACACATCCCTGCTCATTCCAGAAGGCATCCCTGCTTCCCTTCATGGCTTCCATGTTTTATTCATCTAACATGTCTTCATAACATATATCCTAATATCTCAAGGCATTTACAATTGCAAAGTTTAGCATCAAAGATCAGTTGTAAATATCTAAAAATCTATAATGTAAGGCAGGGGTGGGAATGAAACTAGAACACGTTGAGCAGTCACATGAAAGTTAATTCAACCAAATACTTAAGAAAAGAGAACCTCATTGAACAATCAGAAAAAAAATTAAATTATTCTTTTTCTGCAATTTTTTAAAAAAATATTGTGTGTGAATGACAAACAAAAAGCAAAAATCAAGTTCAAATAGTACAGTAACTAACAGAAACTGTACAATTAAACATCTAAAAAGTTAAATTGTTCTTGAACCTTAATGAACGAACAATTTTATTGATTAGCCAGTCGGCCTTATAAAAAACAGACAGCGCAAACACAACATACAACATACATCTAGTCTTCTTAACATAAAATACAAATATACAGGTATTTGTCAGCTTGAAACCAATGTAGCTTAGCCGTAGATATATGCATCAACTATCCTCGTCTTGAACCCTTAAGGAAAAGACTTGTTTCCCTACCCATTATGATCCAGATAGAACTTGATGATTAGACATCAGTCTGCAAGCAGGCTCTTGCGAGGATTCACAGAATGTCTATCATGCCATGTATACTGCCTTGAATCCCTAGATCAGTTCAAAGGTAGGATAAAAATGAAGTTAAATGGGTGTCAGGGCTGGTCCATATACAGTCTTCTACAGTGAGACAGAAACTTAGAATCAGAAGCTGTAGGACAAGGCAGTCGTTGGCCAAGTACCAAGAAATAATTAAGGATAGAAGAAAAGAACAATGGATTGACATTGTTGGTCCTCTCCCTCCTAAGTTTCTGTGAGCAGGTAAAGAAGGCATATGTTTTAGTATATTGTGGTAGGTAAGACTTTTAATGTAGTATATAATGGCTTTATTGTGTTTTGAATATCTTTCAATGCTATTTTAACTGGTATTTTTAAAATACAAATTTAGCTTAATTTTGTACTAAGAGTTGTTTTGTGCTGGGAGAAAGGCAGGGTATAACTTAACCGAAACAAATAAATAAAAGTTTTGCTAGAGAGATTAGCTAGCTACAGACTAGAAGTTTAAAAAAAATCAAAAAATATCAAAAGTATTTGGGGGGAAATGACTGGAAAAATGTTTCTCAATGTAGAGAAGCCCTGAAGAGAAATCTCCTTGACTAAAAAGTATATTCACAGTTTAGGATTTATTCTATGCAAAATTTCCACATTCTGGCGTGTGGATTTTTTAAATTAAAGAAACAGTATTTTCTGTACAGACTGGTTTTTTTTTTGTAGAAAATGACGTTTTCTGCACACAAAATGTCACTGGAGATTATCATGTGCAAAATTTTTCCCATAAATAGTTTGCAAAAATTTCTTCATGCTTAGAAAATTCTGTTGCCTGCAAAGTACATGCTGTTTCTCATGAAGACTTTTATTTATTTATTTATTTATTTATTTATTATTCAGAATTTTTATATCCTGGTCTTCTCAATCTCTGCAGAGGGACTCAGGCTGGCTAACAACAGAAATGCATACACAAGTAAACTAGTAACATCATAACAACATAATACATTAAAATACAAACAGAA